GTCTTAGTATTTCTAAGTGTAATAGGGAGTTGTTTCTTTATTATATTAGTTATGGTATTTTCTTTATGAAAAGACAAGATAGATTAGTAATCAAAATCTGGACACTAATATCTTCAATTGCTGCTATTTTATTCACATTACTTGCTATTGTCTTGTTCATTCAAAGTGTGTTATTGATGAATCATTCTCAATTTCCATGTTCTTTAGATCGAGTTAGTCCAAATACACAAGTTTGTTTTTGTTATTTAATCCCTTTCTTATCTAAAAATAAAAATAACAAATATAAGTTTCTTGATTCAATTGCTATTCTTGATCAAAACAAAGAAGTTAAAAACACATTAGATAATTTAAATAAAAATGCAATACAAAACAGAAAATTTGATTATGAGTCTGCTGAAGTTCAAATAGATAGAAAAGAAAATTATGAAGATGATCGCGAAATTTGTCCAACTAACTTTATTGATTTTCAAGTTAAATGGCTTATTGTTATAGCTTGTTTTGTTGGAGCACATGCTATATGTTGTTTTGTCTTATCACTAAGATTTAGTTTAAAATTATTTGTTGGATTTTATCCTTCTTCTTCAATAAGTATTGATGAAGAAAATTAAAGAAAATGAAATAAATAGAATTAATATAAGGTTCTTGAATAAATTATTTTTCTTTTTTTTTTTTATTATTACATTTATGATTATGTTTATTTTTAATTTTAAAATAAAAAGGGTTCAAATTATCTTTTAAATAAATTTATTTATTTGTTAAAAACTTTTAATACATAGTTAATGTATCATTTTTGTAAGGATTTATTTATAATTACTTGAAATACAAGAAGAATCTTTTGAATAAAAGAAAAACTATCGTGGAAGATAGATATAAGGTTTATAATTTATTCAATTTGGAGTAAACAGGTTTTACGTTTACTTCTTCTCTTCTCTAATTTGAACATAAATTTTCTGTGATGGTAAAGGTAGAATTTTGGTAGTTTCAGTTTGTATCATAAATTTATGATTTTAATTAATAAAAAAATAAATTATCATTCAATTAATTTTTTATTAGAAGAAGTAATTTTATTTTTTAACGATCTTAAAAAATTAAAATTTGAAAAGATGAACATGTTTGAAATCAATCAACCTGTGTTTGGGGTCAGCTTAGAAACAGTGATGTCATACCAAAAAGAGAAATACCCTGAAGTTTCAGTTCCAATAATTTTCCTTTTAATGAGAGATACAGTTATAGCATTAAAAGGTGAAACTACTGAAGGAATTTTTAGAATTCCAGGTAAACAAGAAGAAGTAGATGGTTATAAAGAGTTATTTAATCAAGGAAACTATGAAATATATAAAGAATGTAGTTGTCATACAATTGCTGGACTATTTAAATCTTTTGTTAGAGAATTACCTAGTCCTGTTATTCCACTAAATTGTTATGATAAATTTGTTGATGAACAAACAGTAGATGATATTGAAAATGATGTATCGAAAATACAACCACTGTTAGATTGTTTACCACCTATTAATAAAGCAATGACAATATTTATTATTAATTTCCTTCAGCTTATTTCTTCATATGAAGAAAAAACAAAAATGGGGATTGATAATTTAGCAATGGTCTTCAGTGCTTGTATGTTAATTAATGATAACATTGACCCTTTTAGTGCACTAACAAAAACTAATGTAGCTAAATCATGTATTGCTGCATTAATCCGTCATTTACCAGAAGATGCAATGAAACAAGTTAATATTTCTATTGAAGGGTATACACCATTAAGTGGTATAACTCAAGTTGACGTAGATCCAATTATTCAATACATTGAAAATAAACAACTTGAAGAACAAACAAAACTTCAAACAAAAGAACATCCAAAAGCATTTGGTTTGTTTCGAAGTCGAGCTCAAAGTCAATCTAAAAAGAGAGGGTCAAATGAAGGTCCAACTTTTGCTAGAAGTGTTAGTAAAGAAGGGTTAGCAGTACCATCATTTCAAAATCTTTCTGGATTTAATAATTCTAGCCCTTCACAAGCTTCTCCTCATAAAAGAGTTACTTCAGTTTGTTTCACTGGTCAAACAGTTAGCAAATCAATTGAAAAAGAAACTGAAGCTGAAAAAAAGAATCAGATATGGGATTTAAATTTAGCACCACGTGCTTTAGTTAAACCTTCCTTCCTTCTTTCAAAAACAATTACTGTTTAAAGTACTTCTTTTTTCATTTCAATGAAAATCTAATTAATAGTAAACAGTTTTGATATTATGTCTGATTGAACATTTAATTTCATTATTTTCACTTTCTCTTTTAATTTTGTAACTTTTCTTTTAAATTAGAGGTAGAAAAGTTATTATAAAAGAGAAGAAAAGAAGATTATACCGAGATTTTTTAAAATTAACTTATTTCTGAAGTAACTAACCATTTAGTTATATTAATATATTTCCACATTAAATTATTGTTTTTTTATGAAAAAGAGATAAACAACAAAGAAAAATTTTCAAGATTGATAATGAGGATAATGAAAAGATCTTTCATAAATCAAAATAAAAAAGCAGAAAG